CTAGTAACACGTTGAGGTCGTTTCTGGAAGGTGTCTGTTGATCTTTGTAGCCTTCGATGTCCCAGGTTCCCTCTATGCTTGGTGTGCCTGTGGCAGTTATAATGAATTAGATGTGTTGTAGTTCTCCCTGGAGCTGGGCCTTTGGCTGAGTTGGTGACTGACTTTGTTTACACTCTACAGGAGTGCATGGTAGTGCCAGAGAGCTAAATAACTCCTGGCTGAGCAGTCTGCCAGTCCTCCCTTTGAGATTTCAGGGCTTATTTTTGTTTGTTTGTTTAGTCCAAGTAGTCCCACCCAGAGCAGTGCCTCCCCCCTGCCTGAGGTCCTTTCACAGAGCCCAGCTTTCTCTCTTTAAATCCAGGGTTTTACTATGTTTTTTTTTTTTTTTTGATAGACGTGGTAAGCAGGTAGACCCCTGAGCAAGTCTCCCTGTTTGAGGCACTTCCTAGGACCTCTCTATGTTAAATGTGCCCATGCAAGGTTGTTAAAATTGCTGCATTATCCTAGGGTTGGGCCTGTGGTTGGGTCCCGCCCCCCGCAGCAGCTTGGGATCCACTCACCTTGCTGTGTTGTCTCAGTTATATCCAGGGCTTTGTTTGGGCTGCTGGGGCAAAGGTCAGCAACAGGTCTGTGGCATATCATCAGGTCTCTGGTTCTGAGCTGCAGCCTTTGCCCACGATTTGTTTTCCCCTCCCTAGCTGAATTGTCTCAGTTTATCTCCAGGGTTGTAGCAGGGCTGGGACAAAAGGCTGCCGAGCAGCCTGCAGCTGCAGCCTCAGGGAGGTTCCCTCTGCAGGCTTCCCGCCTTTTGCCACCCAGATTTTTAAAGGCACTGAGGGAGTTGGAATCTGCTGGTGCTTCCGGTTCAGTTCCTGCCTGTGGGGCTTCCTTTATGGGGACTCCCCAATCGCCGGTTCTCCCTCGGTTATTTTCCTTCTAGTGAGTCCAGGGCATTTTCATTTGTGTTGAAACTTGTAGCATGAAAGTCTATAGTCCATTTTTGTATAATCCCGTGCGAGTTTGGATGTAGTCACTTTGGCGTCTTTATTCTGCTGCTATCTTGCTGGTTCCTGAGCTGGCCGAAGTTATCAGTGGCTTTGCGCATCGCCCAGGTGCTCCGGATTGGGTCTGAAGTTTCAGCGGTTTTTCTCTCACCCAGGTATTGAGGATCAGATTTGCAGTCTTTCTGCAGCCTGGGCTCCACTCACTGAGCTGAGTCGTCCACCTTTACCTCCAGGGTTTAGCGTGGGGCAAAGAGGCTCCTGCATCCCAGGGAACTTCCAGGGGCCCGGGTTTTCTCGGGAGTTCCCTTCTGGGAACTCCCCAATCGCCGATTCCTTCTCAGTTATCTACCTTCTAGTGAGTCCAGGGTGTTTTCGTTTGGGTTAAAACTTGTAGTAAGTGAGTCTATAGTCCGTTTTCAGTCCTCAATTCCTATGC